GAACTATTTATTATTTTGATCTTTCTTGTGAATTTGAGGGCCGGCTGTAATGTGTGTTATTTTCTCCCAGTAAGTCAGAAGGTAATTTTACTCATTGTTCCAACCTCCTATCTCATTGCCCTCTTGTCTCACTAGGCCTAGTGAGGGCTGTACCTGAGAGGGAAAACAAATTTTTTTCTTTCAGTAGGGTGTTTTTAAATTGTATTTTAATCACAGTTCTAACTACAGTATTTGTGTAATTCATTCAAGTGTGTGAAGATCTTGTGGAATGAAGCTGGGGAAGTGTTAATGATTCAGCTGATGGTACTACTGGTTAATGGGGAAGAATTACATGATCAGACCCAGCTGCAATCTGTGTGCTACTGAAGAAAAGTCTTCTTGCCCTTTCGTTTGGATTTGGTGCTGTTTCCTGTCCTAACCCAGTCACAGTGTTTTGCTGTAAACAATAGTCAGATTCCACCCTTGTAAGCAAACTGTACTTTTAGTAGAAGATTTGGCTACAGTGACCTGTTCTTGGAAGATCTTAAGATACTTTAGAATACTTTGAGATGAATTGTACAAGCTTAAATTTGTTAATATGCTAGAGTTAGCAGATAAACAAACTCATAAATGTTCTGAAAGAACAAGTACATACAAACTCAAAAGAACAAAATGTTGTGGCCTTGGTCTGCATTAAAGCCTTGAAATTCCTTCCCTTTTATTGGGGAAGAAGTCTCACAGGTCAGTTAGACTCAATGTTACTAAAATATTTTAAGTAATTTGCCAGAGAACTGGCTAATTTTTAGCTATGTTTTGTATATGTCTAAGACATTTCTAAAGTCACATTTGAACAAACTTTGTGTTTTTTACATGTACAAACATTGGTAGAAACCTGTTTTCTTTCAAAGCTTCTGTTAGCTTCAAAGTCTGTGCAATGAATTGCATAGAGAACTTTGCGAGGACCATTTCCACATGTTTACAGCTATTTGGTAACTACTTCATTTTGGATGTAATGATGACTTAATGAACCACTTTCCTGATTAAGATGTGTGTTTTCTTCCTTACAGTACCACTGTGATCCAAAACGTGAACAAAGCTCAAGTCAAGATCAGAGCTAAAAAAGACAATGTAGCAGGTGACTTTTCCAGACAATGAGTATTTGAACTCTTAAGGAAACTGTGGGAGGAGACTTTGAAATATGCAGGAATGTATCCAAACACTGTCTCCTTTTCTTTCTTATGCTCATCTAACAATAGGAACACCTGTAATTTGCTGCTTTTTTTTCACATACAGCATATAATTTTTGTATTTATTTACCTCTCATAAAATTAAATGAGTAAGCTGCAGTGCAATTTCTAGATCTTCAGACAAAGCAGGATTTCTGTAGAGGTTTAAAGAAAAATAGATCAGGAGATTAAGAATCTAAGAATCAAAAATTAAGTAAGTTTCAGGAAATTAAATATCAATAATTGTCTACAAAGAAAACAAGAAAGCTGAATCAGGATTGAATGCTGGAAATATTCCTTAAGCATAGGGAATACATTTCTAAACAGAAACATAATAAAACTGAACACTGAATAAATCAGAATACTTTTCTGAATTTTTCATGTGTCTAGATCTCTGTGGTCTCACTACAATTCAGAAGTTCCATCTTAAGATGTCAGAACCAGCATGCCTTCATTGCTCCAAGCTATATAGGAAGATTTGGGAACAAAGCTTCTGAGCTTACATAATGTATTAGAAGCAAATTGGTTATAAGTGAGTTGTGCTTAATAAATCTATAACCCGTTATGTCTCTTACACACATTCTTGTTCACTTTTGTCAGGTGTAACCCTGCCAGTTTTTGAGCACTACCAGGAAGGAGGAGACAGTAAGTATGGAACAAGTGTTTTCTATCTCACATGTACTTACAGCTGTCATATGCTCATACAAAAGTACTTGTCATGTCTTGCTGGTATGTCAGTTTACGTCATAGGCATAGGTGTACTTACTTCCTCTATGATACTTTGCTGTGTTCCTATGACATGGAGGGATTATTAAAGGACTATAGTGGATTTTAACTTCCTAAATCCTAAACTTCCTAAAAAGTTTTTCAGGTGAGGAGAAGGCTGGTCTTGAACTATCAGGTTTTGAGACTGGTAGATCTTACTGTAGACATGCACAACTATGATCTGTAGTAACATAAACCACTATAAAGACAATTTGTTAATGGACAAGGGCTTTAGCTTGTCACACTTGCTGTCTGTATCACTGTAGTTCATAAAATGCTAATTTTTATCTAGTCAGAAAACTTCATAGTAGCATAGCAACAAATATTTGATATTTTGACATTTGGTGGTTTGTTTTTTTTTTCCTCAGGCTATGAATTGACTGGCTTGGCCAGAGGTGGAGAACAGCTGGCTAAACTGAAGAGGAACTATGCCAAAGCAGTGGAGCTGCTGGTGGAACTGGCCTCCTTACAGGTTGTTGGGAGGAAAAAACAAAAGGGGATTATTGTTTTTTTTCCTGTTCCAAAATGGAAGTAGTCTCAATACTTTGAACTGTACTATACTCCTTTAGTCTTAATGCTGTACAAAGAAACTTTTGGGGAGTTGGTATTTGTAACTGCTCATGTGCAGTATTCAGCATGCTACTGACATAACTAGAAAAAAATTCTGCTTGTATCAAAAATTGAGTCTGTATGTAAAGCTACATTACAGACTTGGCTTTGGCTTTCAAGTGCTATTTGGGTTTGTGTATAGAATTGATGGAAATGTGGAATTTGTCTTGTTTTCCATCAGACATCCTTTATTACTTTGGATGAAGCCATTAAAATAACAAACAGACGTGTGAATGCAATTGAACATGGTGAGTATTTTTCCTTTTGGGATATGTAATATTTTTCTGTCTCTATGCAAGATGAGGAACAGGGTCATGGAAGTACCTCTTGTGTTGACTGCTTTCTTCTGCATAGGATTTCTAACCAGTTCAAGAACTCTTCAGAAAGCATTAGAATGAAGCATATTGCAAATAAGAACACAAATCAAAAGCCTGGTAGAATGGACCGGAATGCATATTGATAAATGAATATGCAAACATGAGAAAGTAATCAGGAAGTTGTGTGGAGAACCTATAAGGCAAAGCTTTCACAAACATTGTGGAGTCTCTGCTAGTGACTTACTTGGTCCATGTCTGCTGTATAGAAACAAAAGAAAGGATGCTTTTATGTGTTCAGATGTTCTAACAGCTAGCGTAATTGCTTTTAAAACTGTAAGATGGTGTCCAGTGGAGAGCTGGGAACTTTTTTTGTTGGTTTTGGATGGGAGCACAGAACAGGCATTGAAAGAAAGCTTGGGAACCTCTTCAGATTTGTATTAGAGGAAATGGAACAGTTCTAATGCCAACATTCTGGTATTTTTCTTTCATCTGAATTCCTTAATTCTTCATGTTCTTGTTTGTAAATTTGTTTTTTGCAATTTTTTAGATACAGCCTATGTACAGTATTGATGTGGTTCCTTTTGCTGCAGTATTCAGGGTGCTTTGATTATTTCAAGTTCCTGAGTTGTTGACAGGTCATATTTAATCATCTTTGCATGTATGCAATAACTTAGTACATGAATCTGAACTGTCCTTTTCAGTCCTGTTTTTTTCATAGACTTGTTCCCTTGATCATGCAGGCCTTATCTGCAGCTTATCACTCTCCAAATTTAACTGTAGAAGAGGTTTCCTCTGCAGCCTTCAAGATAATTTTGGTAGAGCTGATAACAGCTTTGTCCTTTCAAAAAGTGATTCTGACACACAGCTTGCCCAGTTGGGTGTTAAAGCCTTGTTTAATGTCTTACGTCATCCCTCATGATGGTGTTATGTTTGAGTATTTGTTTTCATGGTGGCTTTTTCAAACTAAGATCATAACTGTGAGTAAAAAAGCACTACATTGAGCAGAAGTTTCTGAATGAATGTGATGGAAGAACATAGTTTTAATTCAAATTTTGCCCACCTCTTGCAGGATTATTTTTTTTTTTTTACCACTTCCATGGGGAATAAGGACCTTACAAGCAATCAGGGATCAGTGCTTACTGATTCCATTGCATCTTTCAGAAGAACATGCTATGGGAGATTCCGTGATGTTCAAAGTCCTAGTTTAGTCCTGGGCTTACTGAAGAAAACAATTTGTGTACTTGCCCATAATGAAATAGCATGCATTTCCATGAAAGACATGTAAGTTTCCCCAAGCCAAAGGGGATTACTAGATTGACTTTCAACAACCATCTGTCACTGCATTAGGTAACTTCCTGGCTAATATAACAGCCGTCCAACAACTTCCTTGTTTATATTTTTTAGTGATTATTCCCAAGATCGAGCGTACTCTTTCTTATATCATCACAGAGCTGGATGAACGAGAACGAGAGGAATTCTACAGGTAAATATCCAAACCAAGACAAGACTGGCCTCTTTCTCAAATAGACCATTCTTCAGAAGGGACTTATGAGAACTATTAGCCTGGCAGTGAACACTTTTAAACATACCTGGTTCTTCCTGCACGTTGACTTTGCAGAGCTGGGAACTTGGAGGCCTGCGATTACTTGTCTGAAATTTACAGATGAATTCCTACCACTAGATTGTACACAGCTGTTATTGCAGTTTTCCCAAAGGGAATGCTGATACAGTACACTGAACTGAGGTGTTCTGCTTTAAGGACACCTCTGCCGTAGAGGTCAGTGTTCTGGGTTGCCTGAAGCAAAAATGTCAAACCTGGAATGAATTAAAGGAGAATTAACTTCATTAAAGACAAGCAGAGCAGTATAATGCAGTGTTTAAAGTCAAGAATATAATTTATAGTTTGGATGAAATTTTTCAATGGCAACAGCTATCAATAAAAGCCTTCTGCCATTTGTTACAGGACTTTGGGTTCTTAGGGAACATCTCCAGGCAGCTTTATCATATGCAGGTCTTATGGCATCTTTGCTGCTAGCCTGTTCCATGAAAACATGTTTGTTCAACAGATAAAGCACATTTCTCTTCACAGGTTGAAGAAGATCCAGGAAAAGAAAAAAGTATTGAAAGAAAAATCTGAGAAAGAACGGGCGCTGCGAAGGGCTGATGGCGGCGAGCATGAACCAGCGAATCTCTTAGCAGAAGAGAAGGATGAAGACCTTCTCTTTGAGTAACCCAGCACAGTTGCTGGATATGGAGCAAGGGACCCAGAATAAAGAATGTCCAATTGCAGCATAATTCAGGACACATTGCCTCAATGATACTTATGTGGCTTCTCAGTTGGTGTATAAGTCTTGAGTTGAATGGATTGTGGATTTCCCCTGGGAGATCAGAAATCTGGGAACTTAACTGTAGCGTAGGAGGAAAAGGAGAGATGAGGTGCTTTACTATCAGGAAAGCTGCCTATTGTGTGTTCAACCTGTTTCTTCACTTAGTAGGAATTACTATCCATAGCTGTGTATTTTGCAGGATGGCTGGCTCTGGATTTGTCTAATCAAGATTCCTCTTTAATTATTACTCCCCTTCCTAGTGCATGCAAAGGAAAATACTAATTAAGGAGGGAGATGCATGTAATGTTCTTTACTGCAGAACTATTCATGTTCACGTTGGTTAAAGCAGGTATTGACATACTTAAGTCAAATGTCAGTAAAGACAACTCCAGTTTTCTACCCTGTTGACAAAATCCAGAGTCCTCTCTAATTGACTTTTGTTGCACGATTGTTACCATTTGCTGAAAACCATCTTGGTTTTAATTAGAGGTTCTTCCAACTTGTGTACTTATCTGTGCTAGAAACAAGTAAAAATTTTAAATGTTAAATATCTGGTGTCTGGCTCAAGCTGCTGGAAGATCGTGGTCTTAAAAACTTTGTCATACTGATTTAAAAATAAAACCTTCACTTCATCCCTTAGCCCCAGTTTAGAACTTGCACTGGGCGCATCTTTCAGCATATGCCCACATTCATTTCTCCTTGGTTATTAACCTAAAGCAATAAAGGTTAAGTGGCTCCTTCCTGCCACAAACACAATAGAAACTCTTCTCAACTATCGAGCTACATGTTGCTCCACATCTTCATTGCAACCAGTAGTTTGCAAGCAGAGCAAGGTTGAAGGTGAGGCAGTTCATCCTTGCTGTGTTTCTACTCAGATTGAAGGACTGTTTTCCCAAAGATACCATTTTGCAGTCAGCAAACCGAGCACATGCTATAGCTGTAATACCAGATGTTGTCTCTAGTACTACTAGCCTCTTCAAGGTAAGCACCATGTTTTAAACCTGATCCAGCACTTACCTGCAGGTGTGGGGTAAGTGCAAGGAAATTCTATTAAACACCTTCAAAAAGTAATTATAATTGCATGAAGCACAAGGCCATTGAGAGCAGCACAGCTGAACAGCAAGTCCATACCCCATTTTAAGATACGGGTGTAGCTCGAAAGAGAAAAACTGTAGAGTTGAGGACATTTGTTACCTCTACCCCTGGATGCATGGTGTCAGAAGGAACAGAGAACATCCTTTAGGGCACTGACAGGTCACAACATCTTCCGACATTCAGCAAAATGGCAGAAAGAAGACACCCAAGATCCACTACAAGAAGTAAAATTGTACAGTGATTTATTTTAAATCTAGGAATATCTTACATTTTTACATTAGTGTGCAGTTCATGATGTCTCAAAATACAGAGTGCAGATACATGTATAAAAGTACAATGTGGGGCTAACCACAGGTCTCAGTAAAGTTACCTTAATTACTTAAGGCATTAAGCCCACCCACCCAATTTTTAAAAGTCTCGTAAATTCAAAAATTCTGTTACTCAATTCAGCTACTATTTCTTTTAATTAAATCTGGACTGGTAAAAATGCAGATACCCTCATTTCAGTCTGATACAGCTCACTACAAAGCCTGTGATAAGGTTGAAGAGTTTCACCAGTGAAGCTTGCATATTCTCTTTTACTCTCAAGGAAATTAACATACAGTCTTCACTGAAGAAGGCAGAATAATTTCTTACACAAGGTAGTTCCTGGTCCAAGCTGGCTGCAGATGGACAGTCAGGTACATTTCTCAGTGCTGCTCAAGCATTTCCTTTCAGGAGACAAAGCTAGCACTGGTTATAAACTATCATAGCACCCCTCCACATGGATGTCAGCAAGTACTGTGTGCCTTGGGAATTAAGAGAGTAGAGCTGAACTTCAGGCAACATTCTTTAAGTCTACATTCAAAAGGTTATTTGTATAAAACCAGCTTCTGTGTCATTTCAGAAAAACTGGGTAGACAAACCTTAGTCAAATACATTAACGGCATAATTTAATGTGACTGACACTGCCTGTGAACACTGAATACCTAAGGGGGTTCAGCAACCATCTGACTGTGACTGCAGTAATTTCAACAGAGCCTACATTGCTGAGCTAGGTTAGCCTTAACATTTTACTGCTTTCTGCCTTGTCCAGCTATGAAACTGACAATATCAAAAAAGCCTAATACATGTACAATCATCTTTCTTAAAAAAGGGTAAAATTGATACAATATTTTGTCCTCTGTGAAACACTGACTATCCAATATACCTGAACATTGTAGTTGTCAAACTATGGATTAAACCGAGAATATGCCTGCAATGTGAGGCAAAAGCTGTTACTCTGAATATCCAGCCCTTGGGCCAACAGCTAGCACATTGTTATATCTAACACTGCATTGAACTAAAGATATTAAAGTTTCCAATCCCTTCTCTTTCTGAAGGGTCATTACTTATCCCCACTAATTGCTTAATTGCGTTTCAGCCCTAAATACTAATTAAACCAGCAATAATTTTGCTTTCTAACAAGACAGGAATGCACTCTATACTTCCATTTTTCAATACAAAAATGTACTGAATGTTAGTTCAGTAAGTAGGATAGTAATCTGACAATTTCTTTGTATCTGCTGTATACTTTCAGCTGTTTAATTGTGGGTCTGAATTTGTTCCACTTTTGAGGAAAGAATATACGCAAGACAGAATGGAAAAAATCAACTACTTTTTCATCCTTCAACATTAGTCAGGAGTGAACTACACATTGACGTAACTCCAGTGTTTTACCTGTAGGAACAAAGAAGAACTATGGCTAAAATTAAGAGACATTCACAGTCAAGGTTCTCTGTGCTATCCAAAACCAGAACAGCTGAGATACTATTCAGTTAGCTTCAGCGATGGAACAGCCCTACTGCAGATGCACAGACTTAGTAGCTAAACCTTCACAGCTCAGAATCAACTGAGGATGCAAAGATGTTCTGATCTGCTTTGCAGAACACACTAGGATATAGGCAGACCTCACCTTTTGTTCACTTGTTTCAAGTTTTTTTGTTTTAACCATTAATAATATTCCCCTTTCTTGTGACTTCTCAGTGAATTACCAGTGTTTTACTCATGCTTTCACTGCAGTACTGAGCAAATGCAGGACAATATGTTGGCTAGTGAATTATAAGTCATTTATAACAGAGTAGCTACATTCAGCTATTTTAATTCCAGTTAGTCATGCATTAGACCAACAGCCACAAAATGAACCACTTGCAGAGATTAAAAACCCCCACTATCTTCCAATGTTCAGCATATCAGTTTATTTTAGTCAGTATTCTGTTATAAAACACGAGAACTTAAGTTGACTTTTAAGCAGCATGTCTTATAACTATATTTCACAAAAATATAACCTTTGCCTTTCTAAATACCTCTATTTGTTCAAAACAGTGGCTCCAAACAGTCAATATGTTTTAAAGATAAGTCCATAAAAATATCACATCTAAAAGATCAACATAATATTAATCTTTCGATCTAAAATTAATGTGCAGTCAAATCTGATTTACAAAGTCTGACTAAAAAGACACACGGATTGAAGTATTTACATTATACACATTCGCCAATTACAGTGCTATAAGAAAATGGAATGTTTGATAACTAAAATACTAACTAAAGCCTCACAGGGCAGCTCCAGAGCAGAGCGGCACCGTTATTCTGTGTATTTTTTGAACAGGAGAGATTTCTCATTAATAGTAATGTTTTTCATGTGTAGATTACTCCTCTGCCCAATGATCTGTAGAATTATGCTCCTGAACTACCATCATGTCCCACGAAGTCATTAAGTTAAGTGTTAAATAACATTCATATTTATAACTATGTGACAGCATGGACTGTATATACACACACACAAACACACTTAAAATCTTTGATTTCTTAACAGTGATTCTAGGTAAAAAAAGGTAGATTTATGTATAAAAGTAGTTGCTAGAAAATATCTATCTAAAGCTTTAGAATTTAGTACTGTCAAGGTCTCCATTTCTACACCACAGAGAAAAGAAACTTGGACGATCTTTAGATCAGCTAAACCAGCTCACAAGCTGATCAGTGTATTTTTTTCAGTAATACGCAATTTCACTGGCAAAAGATGCAGCCACTGAGGTCTGGAGCTCACATATGTGTACACTAGAACTGGGCAGCCCTACACATGATCTCCTTGGAAAGATTACTAGACCGAAGGCCATCTGTCCCTTGGAATTGCTCTCATCGTAGCCAGGTAGAGGGCACCCACTGGGGTTCTGTGTCAAGTTTGTTTATTAACCGAAGTAACTCTTGATATGCTTTATCAAGATCAGAATTCACAATTGCTGTATCAAAGTAGTGCCCATTGTTCTGTTCCATCTCCCTTGTCTTCTCTATGATTTCTCTCAGCTCTTCTGGCTGCAATCAAAAATGGAGAATTAGCATATGTCAGTAAGCCTCTCCCCCACAACAGAGTAGGGCAAGGTAACAACTCAGAAAACACTTTTACACGAATTTTCATGGTATTGCTATCAGCTATTGCAAAGTTTGCAACAACATTGAACCATCACACATATCTGCATCCAGGCAATACATCACCCTTGCATCAAACAAGGAGAGCAGAACAACACAGCCATAGAACATGATTCCTGACCAACAGTTCTATCAGGAATCCCTTAGCGTTAGGCTGGAAAGACTGTTCTTCCTCAGTACAAACTGCATTATATTCAACTAGTACTTTGGTGGCAAAGTGCTCTCACCAACCACCATAGGGCAGATTTCAGCTAAAAAGCTCAAGATCAACATATTTCATTATTGTAGCAATAAGTACTTTGTATCTCAAAAGATGATAAGGATGTTTTTTGAGCTTCAGATGTTCTGGTTTAACCCGTGGGTTTCAATTCCATTCCACAGAACTAACTCCTCAACTAAATTAGCTGAATTGGTTAAGTTGAGATGGCTCTGGCTGAAACATGAAAAGTGATTCCACAGGATCAAGCATTAAAATAACTTAATCTGAAGAGTTTTGGAGTACATTTTCAAGCAA